TTTCCCCTCAGCATGGCTGGCTCAGGAATTTTGGGAGTTAAATTCCACGAGTCATAAAAGAGCCAAGGTTGCCTACCTCTATCCTAGCCACTTATCTTAAAAGTTGCCAAGGTTGAGAAAAACAACTCTAGATAAATAAAGTGGAAAGAGGGGAACATAACTAAGTCAGAATATCAGCAAATAGCCCGAGCCTGCAAAGATGAAGTGAAGAAAGCCAAGGCTCAAAATGAACTAAGGCTTGCGACCAAAGTCAAAAATAACAAAAAAAAGCTTCTTTCAACATGTAAAAAACAAGAAAAAAGTGAAGGAAATGATTGGTCCATTAGTGGGTGGAAGTGGCAAGAAGGTGACAAGCAACAGGGAGAAAGCAGAACTATTTAACTCATTTTTTGCATCTGTCTTTACACAAAGGGAAAAAACAGACCAACCTATCAAAATAGTGCCATAAAAAACAAAACAGAAACACAAGTTAAGATAGGCAAGAAAATGGTTAGGGAGCACCTATCCAGCCTAGATGAGTTCAAATCGCCAGGACCAGATGGATTACACCCCAGAGTTCTCAAGGAACTGGCAGATGTGATATCGGAGCCACTGAACTATATTTTTCAAAGATCCTGGAACACAGGGGAACTACCAGAGGACTGGAAAAGAGCTGATGTAGTTCCCATCCTCAAAAAAGGAAAAAAAATGGATCCAGGAAATTACAGACCTATCAGCCTGACCTCAATACCTGGGAAGATCCTGGAAAAGATAATCAAACAACGAATCAACGAACACCTAGAGCAGGGGTAGGCAACCCAAAACACTTAAAGAGCCACTTGGACCCGTTTCCCACCAAAAACAAAACACTGGGAGCCGCAAAACCATTTTGATATCTAAAATGAAGATAACACTGCATATATTTTTTACCTTTATTATAGGTGTATGTGTGTTTGTGTGTGTGTGTTTGTGTGTGTGTGTGTATATATGTATATGTATGTATGTATATATATATATACACACACACACATACACACACAGGTAAAAAAAGGATATATGCAATGTTATCTTCATTTTAGATGTCAAAAGGGTCTCTCTCTCTCTCTCCCTCCCTCCCTCTCTCTGCCCTTGGTCTGCCTGCCACTCCTCTTCCCCTGCTCTTTCTTTCTCTCTCTCTCTTTCCTCTCTCTCTCTCTCTCCGGAGCCGCAGGTTGCAGACCTGTGACCTAGAGGCAAACAAAGTCATTACTAAAAGCCAACATGGGTTTGTCAAAAATAGATCATGCCAGACAAATCTTATTGCATTCTTTGACCAAGTGACAAAATTAGTGGATCAGAGGAATGCTGTGGACATAATTTACTTGGACTTCAGTAAGGCATTTGATAAAGTAGATCACAACCTACTACTTGACAAGATAGAAAAATGTGGGGTAGACAGAACCACCACCAGATGGATCCGTAGCTGGCTGACCGGCCGTACTCAGCGAGTGGTCCTCAATGGAACTGCATCTATATGGAGGGAAGTGTGTAGTGGGGTGCCCCAGGGCTCTGTTCTGGGCCCAGTACTCTTCAACATCTTCATCAACGATTTGGATGAAGGGATAGATGGGGAACTCATCAAATTTGCAGATGACACCAAGCTGGCAGGAATAGCCAACACTCCAGAAGACAGGCTTCAGGTACAGAAGGATCTGGACAGACTTGAACACTGGGCACTAACTAACAAAATGAAATTCAATGGTGAAAAAAGCAAGGTTCTACATTTAGGCAAGAAAAACCAAATGCACAAGTACAGCATAGGTGGCACCATGCTCAATAGTAGTAACTGTGAGAGGGACCTCGGAGTCCTAGTAGACAATCACTTAAATATGAGCCAGCAGTGTGCGGCAGCTGCCAAAAAGGCCAACACAGTACTAGGCTGCATTAACAGAGGGATAGAATCAAGATCACGCGAAGTATTAATACCACTCTTCAATGCCTTGGTAAGGCCACACTTGGAATACTGCATCCAGTTTTGGTCACCACGATGTAAAAAAGATGTTGAGACTCTAGAAAGAGTACAGAGAAGAGCAACAAAGATGATTAGGGGACTGGAGGCTAAAACATATAAGGAACGGTTGCTAGAATTGGGTATGTCTAGTTTAACGAAGAGAAGGACAAGGGGGGACATGATAGCAGTATTCCAATATCTCAGGGGCTGCCATAAAGAAGAGGGAATTAAGCTATTTTCCAAAGCACCTGAAGGCAGGACAAGAAGCAACGGGTGGAAACTAATCAAGGAGAGAAGCAACCTAGAACTAAGGAGAAACTTCCTGACAGTTAGAACAATTAATCAGTGGAACAGCTTGCCTCCAGAAGCAGTAAATGCTCCAACACTGGAAGTTTTTAAGAAGAGACTGGACAGCCATTTGTCCAAAATGGTGTAGGGTTTCCTGCCCGAGCAGGGGGTTGGACTAGATGACCTCCAAGGTCCCTTCCAACTTTATTATTATTATTATTATTATTGTGTGTAGAAAATTGGCTGAAAATTAAAGGTTGCAGCAGTGTGCATTCTGTGTTTGGAGGAAAGAATGAGGTATTTCCAGATAAACTGCTCCTGGATGGGGGAGCTGGCTGTCATGCCTAAGGCGGAACTAGAACTCTCCGTCTCCTGGGGATTGGCCCAAAGTCACCCAATTGGCTGTCATGCCTAAGGTGGGACTAGAACTCTCCGTCTCCTGGTGATTGGCCAAAGTCACCTAGCCAGTTTTCATGGCTAAGGTGGAACTAGAACTCACAGTCTCCTGGTGATTGGCCCAAAGTCACCCAGCTGGCTTTTCATGCCTAAGGTGGGACTAGAACTCACAGCCTCCTGGTCTCTTAACCATCAGATTGAACTGGCTCCCAAAGTTGATTCAATTAATGATGGTTAAAAAAAATTACATGCAACGCTCGACTCAGTTTAAATATTAGGTCACAAACACCTTTAAGGTATACAGTACCCATTTATAATTTTTTGATAGGAAACATGACAGGGTTATTAGCTGCAGAATAATTAATTAGGTAATTGCTTTTCGCTGGGTGTGTTTCCATAACAGGCCTCGATCTGATTTGTGCCACCCAACTCAATCAAAGCTGTCTCTTTCGATTCAATTGGAAAAATACTTTTTTTTTTTTTTACTGCAACTCAGCAATCTCATGATACGGCTGTCCATCCTTTAAAAAAAATTCTATGGCAGATCCAATTAAAGCAGCCTCTCCTCCTTTCTGTCCCTATTCAGAAGCTTGCCATGGGGCAGGGAGGGGAAAAAAAAAACCCTCCCAAAATGAGATTATGCAGAGCTACAATCTGATTTTGCAGTTGTTCTAATTTCCTGAGGTTGGAACAGATGGCAAGTTGCAAAAACAAAAAACAAAAAATCACCACACACCCTTTCTCATCCAATTCTGGCTGAAATGCAGTTAGGGTAACTCACCCGTTAATAAACGTAGACCCAAACTAGAGTTTAGATCAGTGGTTCTCAACCTTTTTAATGCCGCGACCCCCAACCGGTCGTAAGTCGAGGACTACTCAACCGGTCGTAAGTCGAGGACTACTCAACTGGTGCAGCACCGTTTGCAGAATGGGACTTTTGGCGGGCTCAGCAGGGCAGAGACAGCCTGGACAATTCCTACTGGCTTTTGAAAGCCAATAGAATTAGACTCTATTCAAGAGTCTAATAGAATAAAAGGGAGTAGCACAGCTAAGGAAAAGGGGGAAACAAAATGCCGGACTGCGTTGTTTGGCGACCCCCATAAAATGGTCGTTCGACCCCAAATGGAGTCCCGACCCACAGGTTGAGAACCACTGGTTTAGATGCTCTGCCGTAACCCCATTTTGATCCAAGGTGTGTGTGTGTGTGAATGCACGAGCTATAAAACCTGTGTTGTTCAATGGCAGTTCACTGAATAAACCAGGGGTCTTCAAACTTGAGAAATTCTGGGAGTTGAAGTCCACAAGTCATCAAAGGGCCAGGTTTGAAGACCCCCCCCCTTTCTTAACCACTGTGGCGAGAAAGGCCGTAAAACGGGGCCAGCCTGACTCAACAACGCTCTCGCTTAGCAACAGAACTCAATCGTGGTGGTAAGTGGAGGACCACCCGGTAACTTCGCCTACCTTCCTCCTCCCAACCTCCAGCGGGCTCAGTTTCTACTTTCAAGCCTCATCTCGCTAGCCCGTTGCCATGCCAATGCCCACCCCGCTATCCGCCCTTTAAATAGGCCAGGGGTAGGGAACCTTGGCTCTTTTATGACTTGTGGACTTCAACTCCCAGAATTCCTGAGCCAGCCATGCTGAGGGGAAAGGGAGAGGTTTCCAAGCTGAGCCATGCTGGCTCAGGAATTCTGGGAGTTGAAGTCCACGAGTCATGAAGCGGCCTAAGCCTAGGCCAGAGGTAGGCAACCTTGGCTCTTTTATGACTCGTGGACTTCAACTCCCAGAATTCCTGAGCCAGCTGTGCTGAGGGGAAAGGGAGAGTTTCCAAGCTGAGCCATGCTGGCTCAGGAATTCTGGGAGTTGAAGTCCACGAGTCATGAAGCGGCCTAGGCCAGAGGTAGGCAACCTTGGCTCTTTTATGACTGGTGGACTTCAACTCCCAGAATTCCTGAGCCAGCCACGCTGAGGGGAAAGGAAGTTTCCAAGCTGAGCCATGCTGGCTCAGGAATTCTGGGAGTTGAAGTCCACGAGTCATGAAGCGGCCTAAGCCTAGGCCAGAAGTAGGCAACCTTGGCTCTTTTATGACTCGTGGACTTCAACTCCCAGAATTCCTGAGCCAGCCGTGCTGAGGGGAAAGGGAGAGATTTCCAAGCTGAGCCATGCTGGCTCAGGAATTCTGGGAGTTGAAGTCCACGAGTCATAAAACGGCCTAGGCCTAGAGGGCAGCCGAAGCGTTCCGAATAGGCAGTCGAAGTTTTCCGAGTCCCCCCCCTCCCGATCCCAGGGCGCGAGGGCGGGGCTGCCTTCTCCGTAAGGAGGGAGGGTGGGAATGGGGCGGAGGCTCGTCCGCGCCGCGGCCAATCAGAGACGCCCTCTCAGCCGGCCAATCGCCGCGCGGCTTCCATGCGCCAGCGGGCGCGTGGGCCGGGACTTCGGGGAGGGGGACGCGCTGCTGCCGCCGCCGCCGCTGGAGCCCGCGAGCGCCTGGTTGGGAAGCGGAGCCCGAGCTGGCCGGTGCTTGCGGGTCCCTTTCGGGCTGCTGGGAGCGTCGCCGCTGCTGCTGCCGCCGCCGCCCTCGCTCGGTCGGGGCGCCCTCCGCCGTCCCCGTGCATGGAGCGGCACCGCGGTGGCGGCGAGGGCGGCGGGCAGGCAGGGCAGCCGCCGCTGGGGGAAAGGAGGAACGGCCGCCGTCGCGCCCGGGACCGCCGTCGTAAGTCTGAGTCTTTCCCATCCTTCTCCCCCCCCCCGGTCTCCCTCCAAGTCCAGCCTCCCCTCCCATTCTGCCGCCCCCCCTTTTTTGCTTTGCAAGCCCCCCCCCAAACCCCGTTTGCACTTTGCAACCCCCTCCCTGCGGAATGCAATCTAACCCCTGGCGTTGGACTCCATCCCCCATCATCCGCAACCACCAGGCTTGGGAAAGAAGGAGAGATCAACTCCTTTTTTGGGGGGGGGGTGGACCAGACCCTCCCCACACACACTTTTCTTCCCCTTCCCTTCCCAGTGGAAATTTCCTTGCAATCTGCCCTCTGGGGCTGGACTCCATCCCCCATCATCCGCAGCCAGCAGGCTTGGGAAAGAAGGAGAGATCAACCCCTTTTTTTTGGGGGGGGTGGATCAGACCCCCCCACACTTTTCTTCCCCTTCCCTTCCCAGTGGAAATTTCCTTGCCCTCTGGGACTGGACTCCATCCCCCATCATCCGCAGCCACCAGGCTTGGGAAAGAAGGAGAGATCAACCCCTTTTGGGGGGGGTGGATCAGACCCCCCCCACTTTTCTTCCCCTTCCCTTCCCGATGGAAATTTCCTTGCAATCTGCCCTCTGGGGCTGGACTCCATCCCCCATCATCCGCAGCCAGCAGGCTTGGGAAAGAGAGATTAACCCCTTTGGGGAGGGGGGGTGGACCAGACCCCCCCTTTTCTTATCCTTCCCCTTCCCAGTGGAAATTTCCTTTTTTTTTTTTAATGGAAGGGGTGGGGGGGAAGCCTTCCTTCCCTCCCTCCCTCTCCCCTACAGCCCCCATTCCCATCCTCCTGGCCTGCCCTCTGACCCTGCTTTTAACCTAGTTATTGCAAGGAAACCAGGTTTCTATACAGCCAGGCAAGGCTCCGGAATTACCTTTGCACCCCCTGCCCCCTCCCCCCCCCTGTCGCTGGATGTTTTTCCTGAACTGCAGGTTACCTAAGATCTTTTGGCTGGGAAAAGTGTTTTCCTGCTTCTTTTTCTTTCGGTTTAATTCTGCAAAGACGGGTGGTGTCTTTTTGGGAGAGGGAAAAAAGACTGCAGAAGCTGGATGATATTATTATTATTATTATTATTATTATTATTATTATTATTATTATTATTATTATTACTACTACTAATGGAGCTGCGTTGCTGACCCTCCCAGACTTTTGCCAGTTCCCCTCATCCCTGTATTCCAAGATACGGAAAGCATATATACATGTATATATAGATATATATATTCTCAATACAGGAAACACATACATCATTTTGGGGGGGGAGGGGAGATCCGGGAAATATAGATCTAACTCGGGTGGTTAACAAGGCCCTTCTCGTCTTTTCCGGCAAGGAAGTGAGTGGAGGCCTCTGGCCCAGCCCAACCCGCTTGGCATTCAGACAGATGCTTTCCACCCTGTTTTCCCTTCTCTCACTCTGGCCAGCCCAGATGCAGGAAGAAGGAATGAGAAAGCAGAGCCTTGTAATGAAGGCCAGCTTTGGGCTTTCCCGATGGCTTTTGCAAAAGGGGCAGCATTATTATTATTATTATTATTATTATTATTATTATTATTATTATTACTGATCAATGCACAGTCAGCCAGATGTTCAGACTGGATCTGGCATTTTTGTCTACCTATCGAGTCCTTACCCAGGACCTGGTATAGGCAGATGTGGATGTTTGATGGTATTACAGATCTCGTCGCAGGATGGAAGCGGTTCCTCGTAAGGCTGCCTTTTGCAATTGACTAATAGCGAATTTGTCAATGCCGATGATGGTGTTCAAGTGGTGCTCTAGTTTTGGGATTGCACCCAAGGCGCCTATGACTATTGGTACTACCCTTGCTTGCTTTTGCCACTATGATGATGATGATCATCATCGCATAGTCAGCCAGATGTTCAGACTGGATCTGGCATTTTTGTCTACCTCTCGAGTCCTTACCAAGGACCTGGGATAGGCAGATGTGGAAGTTTGATGGTATTACAGATATCGTCGCAGGATGGAAGCAGTCCCTAGTAAGACCGCGTTTTGCAATTGACTAATAGCGAATTTGTCTATTATTATTGTTGTTGTTGTTGTTGTTGTTATTATGTGGGGCAAAATAAATATTTGGGAGGCATTAAAAGCCCATGGAGGTCTTCTCCACCTTTGTCTGGTCTCAATCCATCCATGGCACTTGACTGTATACGTAGTCCTCCTCCCTGCAAACCCACTCTCTTCTAGCACCGATGATGTTATCTAGTTTGGTCATGAAACATCTGCAAGAAAACAGCCAAGCTTAGAGAACACCAAGGACCCCACAGTCCTCCTCCTCCTCACAAATCCACTCCCTTCTAGCACTGATGATGTTACCTAGTTGGGTCATGAAACGTCTGCAAGAAAACAGCCAAGCTCAGGGACCCCATAGTTGTCCTCCTCCTCCTCCTCCTCCTCCTCCTCCTCCTCCTCCTCCTCCTCCTCCTCTGCAAACCCCACTCCCTTCCAGCACTAATGATGTTACCTAGTTGGGTCATGAAACGTCTGCAAGAAAACAGCCAAGCTCAGGGACCCCATAGTTGTCGTCCTCCTCCTCCTCCTCCTCCTCCTCCTCCTCCTCCTCCTCCTCCTCCTCCTCCTCCTCCTCCTCCTCCTCCTCCTCCCTGCAAACTTTAACTCCCTTCCAGCACTGATGATGTTATCTAGTTTGGTCATGAAACGTCTGCAGAAAACAGCCAAGCTCAGGGACCCCATAGTTGCCCTCCTCCATCCTCCTCCCTCCTCATCCCCCTCCTCCTCATCTCCTCCTTCCTCTCCTCTCCTCCTCTCTGCAAACTCTAACTCCCTTCTAGCACCGATGATGTTATCTAGTTTGGTCATGAAACGTCTGCAAGAAAACAGCCAAGCCCCAGAGAACACCAAGGGCCCCTCATTTCAACCCTGACCTACAAATATTGTCCTTTCAAGGTGGATTTTAATAGGAGAGAATCCTCAATGCAAAGTTCTTCTCCTCCAGTGGCGTTTTTTTCTCCCTTCCTTTCCTGGGTGCTTAAAAAGTAGTTTGATGGGTGACTTTTCTTGCTTTTTTTTTTTTTTTTTTTTTGAGATAGTCCTTTCTCCTCCTGGTCTTAGGCTGGGATAGGAACTGTGACTTAAAATGTCATTGGGTTGGGCCCTTTCCTTATCTCTTGCCTGCATCTTGGGAAGTGTCTTATAACTCCAACCCAGACTGTTTGACTCTTGAAGTCCCACCGTTGTGTGCTCCGACAACAGCCGTGATCCAAACTTGATCCCAGCGAGAGGGATCCAGTAGGAATCTGCCCTGGAGCCTGCTTTGCCTTCGCCCGTGGAGCAAACAGGAAGGTGTTGTGACACTAACCTTTTAAGTCCATTGCAACTGCAGAATAAATAACATTTTTTTTTTCTCCTCTCTGAGAAGGTTTATGATGTTCTTTCTAGAGGCCCACGGAGTTTAAACTAATTGTTTACTTTTAATTTGTGCAATCATCCTCCTTTGCGGATTCATCTGTAGAACATCTAAAATGTTCCCGTAATGTTGGGGTTTTTTTTAAAAAAAAAATAAAATAAAAATAAATCTGGGTATAATGAAACCTCTTTGTAATAACAGATCTGTCTTTCCCCTTACAGCAGTGGTTCTCAACCTGTGGGTCGGGACCCCATTTGGGGTCGAACGACCATTTCATGGGGGTCGCCAAACAATGCAGTCCGCCATTTTTTTCCTTCTTTTCCTTAGCTGTGCTACTCCCTTTTATTCTATTGGTTTTTGAAAGCCAATAGAATAGACTCTCTTGAATAGAGTCTAATTCTATTGGCTTTCCAAAGCCAACAGGAATTGTCCAGGCTGTCTCTGCCCTGCTGAGCCCGCCAAAAGTCCCATTCTGCAAACGGTGCTGCACCAGTTGAGTAGTCCTCGACTTACGACCGGTTGAGTAGTCCTTGACTTATGACCGGTTGAGTATCCTTGACTTACGACCGGTTGGGGGTCGCGGCATTAAAAAGGTTGAGAACCACTGCCTTACAGTCTGAAAAAGGTACAGAAAAATCACTGTTTTTAGGAATGTTTTGCCTTCAAGAACATGCATTATTCTTATAAGCAGTGATAACTCCATCCATCCATCCATCCATCCATCCTATAGTTCCTCTCAGATGTTGGTCTTGCTACAGTTCAAAGTTGAATTCTTCATTAAGACTAGCTTTCTGATATTTATATTTAAAGAGAATAATTATCTTTACTTAGCCATGTTTTCTATCTGTTGCAACCTTTGAATTCGGGATTATAATAGCTGTTAAAAGTTTGTAGGTTTGTGTGTGAGATCTGCACCTACAAATAAAGAATTGTTGATTAGAGCCGAGGCTGGCAAGGCCTGGAAAGTTGGTTTGGGTGTATGGATAATTTTGAATGATTTGGAAATTGGATCAGGGATCTGACAGTTTTAAGATTGAGGCTATGGATTGGGGCTTGCTAGAAAAATTGCACGGTCATTTTTAACAAGCTTTTTTTTTATCTTTTCCGTCTTTTCAATTAAGAGGAAACTTTGAGTTGTTTCTTTTGAACTTACTATATAGACAGTTTACTGTTGCAAAACCTTTTGGCTAGTTGTGCAAAGATAGCATTGCTACTGTGTTTGTGTAGCTTATTAAACAAGCAACAGTGTTGGATCAAACTCAACATTTCCTTGCTGTTGTGCAACTTAGTTCTTGCCTGTCTAGAAAGTTAAATTAACTGAAAAGAAACCTAATATCTGCCCTCTAGATAGAAACTAAGGAAATGACTAATGCAAGTCCCCTCCAATTTTCATTAAACACAACAGTGAAGCTTCATCATAGAAAGTCATGGAGGGTAACATAGGTAACATAGAATAACAGAGTTGGAAGGGACCTTGAAGGTCATCTAGTCCAACCCTCTGCTCAGGCAGGAGACCCTACGCCATTTCCAGACAAATAGTTGTCCACTCTCTTCTTAAAAGCCTCCAGTGATGGAGCACTCACAATATCTG